TCGCTTAGCGGAAAGAGAAAATAAATTAGTTAATAAGACTATTCCACACGTGGTGAAACACTCAGTTCGAATCTTAATGAACAGCTACATTAAAGAAACGTATTTTACTTGGAGAAAAGCTCACAAAAATTACTTTTTTAAAACGTTTCTATATAATAAACAGTAGCATAATTAATATAGTTAATAAAAGATACTTCAAACGCTATACACCGTACCTCTGAACCAAATTATAGTTCGTTTAATGTTCGAGTCAGAAATTCTAACTTCCATTTTTTTTTTTTTTTTTTTTTTCCCAAATAAGCACCACACAATTTTACTTTAATACTTCGCTTAGCGGAAAGAGAAAATAAATTAGTTAATAAGACTATTCCACACGTGGTGAAACACTCAGTTCGAATCTTAATGAACAGCTACATTAAAGAAACGTATTTTACTTGGAGAAAAGCTCACAAAAATTACTTTTTTAAAACGTTTCTATATAATAGCGTGGGTGTGACAAACTAACAGCAACGTCAAAGAATATAACTGAACGAAACAATTTTAACAGTTCTAAAATATAGACTAGAACTTCCTTTTCAATAAAACTCGGCAAGATGTCCTTCCAACTCGAGAACAACTTGCTTCTTACACAAATGCACAAGAAAGCCCGCTTATCTTTTTCTACTTTTTGTTGATAATTTCGTTACCTCGCTTTTGTAATATTGTCTTTAACTGAATGGCAACAGTAATGAAGAAGTGGAACTGAAAGGATTTTCCCGCTTTAGCTTTAACCTTCGATGGCTATGTCGGTCAAGCTGCTTGTCCGGTTCCATTGCCTAGCTTTATGAACGTCTGACCGTGAACGACTGTTAGTTGCTGATACGCGGGCGTCTAAATCGATATGCAGATTAAGGAAAGTTGTTTGCATTTGGAACATTTGTTTGGATCTAGTTCTATATTTTATTTTTTAAATTTTATATAAAAGACGATATTGCTAACGCGATTTCGAATAAAACTCTTGCCATGTAATATTGTCTGAACGAAAACAATAAAAGAAAAAATAAGATTTAAGGTGTTTTTATTTATATTAATTTACTTTCGTATGGTTAAAGGAAGCGTTGTTATGAAAGGGCAGCGAGATATGTGTAAATGCAGTTTGGAAACCTTGCCAATGAAATTGTTATTACAGTCACAGCTGTTACAGCTGAAAAATTAATTGTGTCTCTCTGGCAGAAAATTAATTATTTCGTAAAGGCCAATAATAAATGTTTTCGCAATGTGTATGGAGTCATCTTTTACTTGAACTTAAATTTACATCTAAGGGCTGAATGCCCCTGTATTGTAAAAACAGCTTTATTTTATCAAAATTTGTAAAATAAATAAAGAAAACTTGTAATCTGAAAACTCCAGATTATAATCTAACATCTCGAAGAAGAGTTTATTTTTAAAATAAAAAATTCTATAAAAATATATTAAAAATATGGGAAAATATAATTTTTCATATTTTTCATTACAGTCACATATATGCATTCGACATACTTTAGCGTGTTTTCATATTTAAAAATATAAAAAATCATACAAATATTTCCCTTTTCCTCTTCAATAAAAATGAATAAATTGTATGGAAAATTACTGGCCTAAAATATGTCCAGTAAATGACTAAGATTTTTCTGAAATTTACTTGAGCGCCAAACACCTAGTAATCGAGTATTCCAATGAATTATAAATAGTGCGATCTTAACAGCATTACGTGCCTCGGGCAAACCAGTGTTCTGGGACCCTTACGACAACCACTCATAGAAATGAAATGTAAATTAAATGTAAATGAATTAGCATGCTTATAGGGCTCCCGAGCAAGTACCCAACGCGCCTTTCCGTTAAGATTGTCCTGATTATAAAGAAATTTTTCACAAAGTATTCCAATGAATTTTTGCCATTCCGTAAAGAAAAAGTATCAATATACACTAAGTTCAACCATTCATGTTGAAAATGTTCTGGAAGAAAATTGGAAACCTGACCATTTTTTTACCTAGCTAAAATATACGTTTAGGTTTCTTACACAGCACATACGTAAATGTAATGTAATATAGGCTATTTCTTTAAAATGCTACAGATATTTATTTTTACCGCTAAGTAACGAAAATGTTACCACTAGTTATCGGGAAAAAAGGGCTCCAAAATGACTGCGACCCATGATTTTCGGAATGAACGGGTGTCATTCAGTTGCATTTGCCTCAGGCAAATAAATATTTTCAATTTTCTTATTAAATATAGCGATTTGCCGGAATGTACATTATTTACACAAATTACGCAAACTGCTAATTTTCTAAATCTATCAAATTGTGTTAAAAACCACTCTGTCGTATTTCTGGCTCTTGAAGTATATTTTTTAAAGTAGATATATTTTTATACTGTTTAATTCTGAAGATCTGAGAGAACTATATATTGCTTCTTAGACTATTATGAAGCTTAAAAAAGCACAAATTGTACATCATAAATTCATTTTTTTAAATTTAGAAATAACACTGGACTGCATTATGAGGTTTTACTTTATCTGGAGTTGATAACCTTATCGTATGTGAAACGAGTTATCGTTAGATATGACGATAACTCGTTTTACAACAACAAGTCATAATAAAGACTTTAATGACCTTTTTATTAAACAGAAATTTGAACATAAACATACTTTCTTTTAGCAATATCGACCACCAGGCAACTAAACAGAAGCGGTCAAATTTAAGTTAAGACGTGAAATAGTAGTCGAAGACTACACAATTTAAATATACTACAAGCTAGTCCAGTTATTCTAACCGGAGCATCAAAATCAAATTTTCAACAGGATTACAGGTATCAAAGCTGTCAGGAACTAACCATCTATGTCAGGAACTATCAAAGCTGCCAGAAACAATTTCTATCTTAAAATCCAAAAAGCTCAGTTTAAAAACTAGCTAACTCATTTACATTCTGGCTAGGAAGCGGAAAGGAGATTTTATAGTAAAGGCTAAAATTATAAATAACTGGTTCATTTAAATAATTACGTAACAGTATAAAAATCTACCATTCTTTGTTCATGCAATAAATGTGAAGTATTGAGGAATTTTTCTAGAATGAAAGTATTGTTTTGACAGTTATAAGCGGCTTTCCTTTCTCGCACTTCGTTATGTCGCTTTATCCTGAAAGAATTGCAGTTCTTACTAATGTAATAGTATATCAAGACAGTTAGAAGTTCTGTAGTTCCATTCACGGCAAAGCGTAGGTGATATTTCATTCTTTCTCACTCCGGAAAAAAAATCTGATAATTTTTACAACCCTAAAACTCCAATCCACGCAATCTAGCAAATTTCCAGTTCTGAAAGCATTTGCTGTTTCACAGAGTTTAAGATCTCTAACGTTATCCACATGGTTCCACAAATTTTCAGTTCCGAGAACTGCTACTGTTCCGCCTAACATAACATGTTTCTTTTACCTCTCAAATTATAACAGGACATTATTTAATAGTGTTCACATTAATAGTGTAATAGTTGAAACAATAAACAGGGTGATCCAAAAGATAGTAAGCATTTTAAATTTACATTTCGATGAATTCATAACCATTAGCAACACAGTTAAGCAAAGAAGTATACGAAAATATGTTTACGAAGAAGTTTAATTGTTTAAATTTTAGTTGCAGTTATCTTCTCCAGATTGCCTTTGGAATCTTGATTACCCTTTGAATCATCGTTTCCTAAAGTCTCCTTATAATAATTCGTTCAAAACGATATTTATTATTCTCACTCAGAAAGAAAGATAAGCATTTTGTAATCATGTAGAACGGAGCATTATTTCATATTAACTCTTTCTTATTCTGAACTTTTGGCTAAACTGGAATAACAAGTCAAGAGCTACAATGGTTCTCAAATCCCATACCTGAAATCTGGTGATTTTCGACAATGGGTCTCCTGATGTCACGCTTATAAATAGATTATCCCATGTCTTTGGCATTGCAGAGCTAGTTTCATGTGTTAAATATAGTCAGTTTAAAGCTTCATAACCATAAACACACTGTGTAGAGACATTAGGTTATTTCGGAAGCAAAAGATGTGTAAAACACGCAAGGGACTCGAACCAAGGGCCTCTCGAATACGCGCCGAGTGTGCTGACCACTACACTACGAAGGCATGCTAAGAAGGCGGGAGAAATACTTTATTACTGTAGGTAAAAGTTTAGTTTACAACATAAATTAATAATGCAGCTAACTTTGAACTTCGTATCATAATATACTTCGTATACATTTTATTTGAATACGCAGAATTACAATATAATTAACAATACAATCGGTGACATAATTTATAGCATGTTCATTTAAGTATTTTCACACTTAACTTGCATAAATTCTGTATAAATATTTCATTGAATTTCCATAGAAGCAAGTAGTTAATTCGAAGCAAGTACTTTCTTTATTGAGCCAAGTTGGGGAAGATTAGTACGAGAAGTTTGTTGTATTTTTTAATTATAGCAATTATTATTAAAAACAGCAGCGCTTGCAATGCTTAACATTAATTCAGAAGTTACAATTACTTTTGCTTTTTCGATTTAATCGTGAATTCAACAGTAAAAATAGTCAACATTAGATTTTTCATATACGTTCCGAACTATAATCATTTGTATTTAATCATTATTGAAGTTTGCATTAACTGCATCTGTAATCAGCTAAGTGTACTACATTTAAATGACGAATAAAAACCCTTTCTTCTGCTTTTAAGAAAAACACAACTGGAAAATAATTTGTCAGCGATTATAACTCTAAAAAAAATTATAAATGTAAAGAACCTTAAACGCTGGGATTCTATTTAAAGAGTACGGAGAACGAGCGTTTAAGATAGCTTACATAAAGCACATTAAGTAGCTGGGAAGCTTCACATTTGGCAGCGGAAATATCTTCAAAATTTAGGTCGCTTTTTTTTCAGCGAAGGTAACTGTAGAGAAGCAGTTCGATGAAGTTTCATTTTCACTACACCGGCTCTTTTGTTCTGTTGTATAACGACATACTCCATGGATATGTACTTAGCACTCTTGTATGTGGTCAGTTTTTGACACCTGTGAGGTTTTCGCTTTATATCTATTCATCAGTTATGAAAATCTGAAGAATTCTTTTGCTTTGAGAGTGACACTGGATTAAAAATTCATGTTGTATATGTATGTTTTAGATGTTAAACAAAAACTTCGTAATTTTTGTTATTAATTTACCTTTCAACAAGAATATTTGGATATTAAAAATTTGTCAAAGATATATATGCCTCTAAGCATACACCAAGAAAAGGCATGCTTTAAAATTATTAAGTATCCCTTCATCTTGCGTTTTGAAATTAAGTGCTGATACTGTTTTTGGAGTAAAATTAATATGCTATTTTGTACCTAGAAGGAAGTGTGGTTATGGAGTCAGAAATGTAAGTAACTTTTATGTCACTCTGCATCATTTTTTTATGAAGAATTTGAATCGCTCAATTATTATCAGTTTCGATTAAGCTTTTATCCTTAATCGATTGCTGTTTCTTCAGCTTATTCCTTAATCTTTTGTCCTCAATCAAGTCTTTAAGTATCGTTGCCATATTGTCCCGTAAAGTAAATGGCGTTAGCAGTTTTGTATATCATTTGAAATAAAACAACCAGAGTACTAAAATTAAGAGTTAAAATGATCATTTTAGAAAAAATATTGAATAGAATCTTACAATCATTTTTCATTTTCTTATTAGAATACAATTCAGAGCACAGTTACCAATTAATTTTTTACTCGTAATTATTGTTCTCTGTAGCGAATTCTTCTTGCAATTATATTGAGAATTATGTGTCATACGGCTTTTAAAAAGAACTGATCGAAGTTCTTAATTACAATGATTTCAGAAGACTTTGAATATCTTGTATTTAGTTATGATTTTGAAGCATTTTATTTAAAAATTTCAGTCAAGATGCAATTACTTTGTATTTTTCTTATTATTTAGTGCTGTATTAATTTTTCCTTGCCCTTTAAGTAAATTTTGTAAACGTAAGGAAATTGCCTTTTTTTAACCCTTCAGAATGAAATCAGTCGAAATAAAGAGCATAAATATTAGATATGTCCAAAACTACCCCTTTTCGAAGTTGGATCGTGTAATTAAAATGCAAATTAAACGACCATAACAGATAAATACTTTTGCCAGTTAATTCGAAATATTATACCATACTGGATAAATTTATTATTTTAATACAGAGTCTTCCTTATATTATATTAGAGAAATCCATTCATTATGAGTAAAATATAGATTTTCTCAAGATATGAATAAACTAGTAGGATGTAGATTTCCTCACCTCCAAATAATTCACCTTCTCGCAAGAATAAAGTGTATTATCTTCTCATACTGCACTTTTGGTATCGCATAGTAATTAGTGGCTGCATGTGGTTGCATTTTTCCGAATCATTATTTTATCGGGCAAAACTTAAATTTCTATTAAAAACCTGATTTCAGTTAACGTGCTTATGGCATGCTTACGGTGGAATAACTATAATTTAGTTTGGGGCTTGAAATACTGGTTTTGATATTATATAATATAATGAAAGCATTATAATAATAGGAACACTAAATCAAGAACTTCCTTAAGAATAAATTTAATTTCAAGAGTTATACCAAAGAATTTACTTGCTATTAAACTAACACCAAAAATACAAACCACAATACCGGGAATAATATCTTAAAGTTTCCTTGATAATAAATTAGTTTTACGAGTTATAATTTTAAGAAACGAGTTATAATTTTACGAGTTATAATTTTAAGAAAATGTTTTTATGTTTTTAATACTTAGTCTATACCAATTCTTTATTCAAAAATAAGCATTTTCGTTAATTTCTTTTAAAACTCCAGAGAAAACTTTAATTTAATTATTTCGTTTCTTCTCTGAATGACAGAAAACCCTTCTTCGAGAGAACCTTTTTAATATTATTTTAAATCAGTAACTGTTATTATATAATTTAAATTAATTTAATTCACTGGTTTAAAAGAAAAAAATTCTCCTTGCAGACCTCCTACGGCAAACAACTGTTGAGCATTTTGTCGCGATAAACAACTTAATCTTATCCAAATGATAAATTTATTTTAATGTGTAAAAATAAAAAAAATCTGAAAGGTTTCTGATTTTATATTACGTTCAAAGGGGGCATTTTTTCCCATTTACACATACATACACATTAACGTCCCTTTGGGCTAAAAATATTTAAAAACATCATACCTTTAGAATTTCTGATAGACAATCTCGCGCACTGAAGATAAAAATATTTTGTTCCGTAAAGTGTGTTGCCACTGCTCGCTTTGAATTCGTTGTTTAAAAAATATGAAATAGATACTAAACCAAATTCGAAATTCTAGATTCGGGTTTCCAGGTGAGCATATTAGAGTGAAGACTTCGCTATTCAGAATTTGACGGCTCTAGTTATCGTTGTTTTCTCACAATGCGAGAAACATACATACATTCATGCAGATTCTTCATTGTTTAATTTCTTATAATACAGGGCGATAATATTTGGTGGCAACAATTCGAAAAGTAGTGATTCGACGCAAAATACCGTTTCGAAACTCATAGGCCTTGTCGGCTAACACCCCTTTAGGGCTAATAAACTATTTTTTCATTATACAAACTGTGATTCTTTTACGCTGTTAAGAAAAATCTACTATTATTAACGGCAATGAGTCATATTTTACTATGAAGCGATATTATTAATTATTCCTTCATTAGCACGCTTTGCACAGAGATTATTTTCGGTCTGTTCATAATAAATATGAGTATTGTAAAAAACTATTTGCTTGAATTGCGAAAATTCTGATCCCCTTCTCTGTTAAATAAATATTAAACAAATCTGTTAATCTCTGTTAAATCCTTCTGTTTAGATCAAGAGCAAAAGCTTTCTAACACAAATTTTAACGATAAAATAATTATATTTTTCATTAACTTTGATTAAAACAAACGTGTTAGATTAGTTTCTGTGGACGAAGAGATATGCAATGTAGTATTAAGAGAAAATTAGATTATTTTCCTCCCAAGAGCTGAAAATTAGAATTTTTCGGATTCCACGGTTGATGCTCTATACATTACATTACAAGAGCATACGTTTAATTTAGGAGGATAAGTTTAATTTATTGCAAATTCGCCAAAATTCCCTTCAAAATATAAGAAGGCTATCTGGCACAAGACAGATACATATGTAAAAAGACAGTGCTGGTTCTTATTTATTTTCCACGTGAGAAAAATATACTGGACTCTAGGAGAAGCCCTGTGATATACAACAGATTTGTTCCGCTTGGAGGCAGATAATATTTTATCAATAACACTTAATTTAATTTGAATATAAACAGCTTCCATATATTTGGCACAAACTTATTTGAAAATAATTATCATTAGTCTAGAAACGAAATCTACAGTTAACTGGATCATCGACAACATTATGCTTCATCGTTGGTCTAGATACTTCATATTAGAATAGACCATTAGACAACACGTTGATGATAACATCCCTTCTTAACTGAAAATAATTTACATTCCATCATTTTCTTGCCTATTTATTTAAGAATATATGACCTCCATATTAGTATTACCCGGACCATTACTCGGTTTATTTATGAGTAACGACCTCCAGCATTAAAAGCTCGTTGTCCTTTCGTACGTCATATTTTACTTCCTATTCTCTCCAGAGAGCGCAGATTCGAAGCATTGACGAACTGCTGCTCTCGGCGTCTCGTTACTGGACTGCCTCATTGTTGAATTCTCTATTGCTTACAGTATGACATACACTGGTTATTTATTGAGCCACGAGAGTTGTTCCGAAGTTACCGTTTACATAACGGAATAAAAAGGACAAATAACGAGCATTTCCGGTAAGAAGCAGGAAGCAGAACAATAGAAAACAACTCTCCGTTCTACTGTCACTCGAAGAAACGGTATCCATCAACAAAGGTGAGAAAGGTTTAAAAGTTGTATTTAAATTTTGTTTTAATCTGTGGCTCCGCATGTTTTTTAAAAATCTGCAATGATTCTGACAGCTATAAAAAATTGCTCAAGGACAATAATACATGTTTTTGCGGAGAACGCAAATTTTGACACTGTACCTACTCATCACACAGTATGTGCTATAAATTTGAGGATCGGTGCCCTCTGTCAGATTTCACACGATCTGTTAGTCACAGAGAAAACATTTGTTCAAGAAAGCAAAAACTTTAGCAGAATATTAATGGGTTAGAAAAAGCTTATCCAACCGAATCTGTCTCCGTTCATGACAACTTTATCGTTTACCAAGCACTTTTTCTTCAATGATAAATTCCGTCGCCGCAGCATGTTAAAACAGAGATTCTATGTAAATGAAATTACAAAATTTATTATAGGGTAGAGCCTGTACTATATTTTTTTAAATTCCATTAACAAGAACTTTATTTTATTTTATTTTAGACACCAGAAAGAAAATACGTTCTTTTTTCTTATTTTCTGTTTAGTAAAGCTGAATTAGAGTATTCAAATGCGGAGGAAAAATATTGCCGGAAATATTCCTTGTTAACAGAGATTCTATGTAAATGAATTTACAGAATTTATTATAGGCTAGAGCCTGTACTGCATTTTTTAATTCCATAAACAAGCACTTTACTTTTAGACACCAGAAAGAAAATACGTTCTTTTTTCATATTTTCGATTTTGTAAAGCTGAATTATAGTACACAAATGCGGGAAAAACATTGAAGGAATTCTTCCCTGTTTTCTTATCAAATCGCTTAAAACTGAAAAATTGTGATGCTCTCAAGTCAAAACTTTTGTTAATTTATTATTAATAATAATTCGAATAATTATTGAAGTGAAGTGCAAATAATAAGCAGAGTAACTCATCAAAAACAACTCGAGAATTTAGAGTTCTGTAGTGTGAAATTAAAATCTAGATCAAAGATACACAACTTGTACTCAAAAAGTATATGCAATATTTTTTCCAATTAACAGTTTCTTAACTGCAACTCAAAATTTTACGTCTACTGTATTAATTTCAGGACTTTTGTTTTCATGTTTTAAAAGAATGAAGAATTTAACTCGTTGTGTTAAATATCCTTGGAGCATGTTTATTTCAGTTTATATAATTTTGTATTGGAACTAATAAACTGTTAAACCAAAATAAATTTGATATGATAATTTGGATTTTATTTCAGTCTTAAAAAATGCATTTTTTACGATAGGCTTTAGCGTAACATTAAACTTTAAAATTATTATTTTTTACATGAAAACTATGGCAACGCACAGGTGAAGTATGAGCTCAAACGTTGCAAAACGACAATTTTGTAGAAGATTTATTTCCAATGTCTACATCAGCTATCATTGCTTCTGTTATTTCACGCATTTTCTGTTCTTTTTTGCGTTTCCTACGGAAATTTTGCTTTTCTGATGGCTTT